TTGTTAGGTAATGGATTTGTAATGTTGAGCATAGTTAGGAGAAGAGTTTTTCCAAAGATGGTCCAGGAGAAATGCAGGGTCTTGTGGGTGGAATGAAGTCGGTCCGTTGAAAATTAATGGAGGCGGTGGTGATAAGTTGACTTAAATCTTATTATTTGAATTCACAATTTAATAGTGCAACAAGAGTTTTGTTGTTTTTTCTACTGACTTACACGGTTATTTTAGAATTTAGTGATAAAAATGTTTTGTCTATTAAGTACTTGTTTATTTTGTTACATAACCAAATTGTTTATAATATTGTTATTAATGTTACATTATTATAAATATTAAAAATGATTAAATGTATTTAAGTAATAATATTTTTGTTATAGTATAAACATGAAAAGTAAATTCAACGGATTACATTTTTTTTAAACAACACCTTTTATTTTATTTATTTTTATGAGTTGAAATTTATACAGGAAAGTATAAGGTACAAAATAAGTTTTTTTATTATCTTATTCGAATAATGTTTAACCTATCCAACACATGTTGTTCTAAAAACCTTATTTTCCATTTTTTGAAAAGTTTATTGTTATTGACTAACCTCTTTTCCACGCGCACATACTGATCTTTTTTTTCGCAACTGTAGTAATATTATACACATTTTCTTTTTTCACCGTGGTCGGGAGGTCATGTTTGTTATGTAACAAACATTTGTTGTATCACAAATCTTCGACTATATACCTAATATTATGTACCTACAGAGCCGTCCAGAGGTTATGCATGGGCGCATATGGCCACACAGTTCGGGGGTCTTTTAAGTAAACCAAAAAAAAAAAACGTAAAGATATAAATTAAGACACTCATTAGCCAAGGACCCAATTCGGCTTCTTTTGCAAAATGCGTTTTTTGAGTCGATAACGTTGGAAAGTCGCACTTGTAAGGCTTCGGAGGAGTTATTAAACTTGAAAAATAACAATAACAATTTGCGTCGTAAAAAAAAAAGAAAAAAATAATGATTTCCTTATCAGATGTTCGGTTTGTAATACGGTCGCCGAGATGTGCTCTATATTTATTTGTTCAATGCCAAACAATCTTCTCTGCGGTTCGTAGCTGTTGTGTTGTTACACAGGACGTTGCCCTCTCGATCGTGCACTGTACATAATAATAATAATACATACCCTTCTGTATATCTATGTGTGTACCTACAGTCCGTTGCGGGATAATGATACAGTAGGTACTGGTTTTGTATTTCGAATAAACTGTTGAATTCCCGTGTATTTTACTCGGGAACAAAGTCGATATCGAACTATACTAGAATTCGGAAAAACCTGCAACTGTGAACGAACAATATGAATCTGAAAGACAGAATAGCTGACGAAAGCATATTAAGCACAAACACATAAATACATAGGGGTCACTTTCAATGTAAACACAAAAAAAGTGACCGCCATTTTGTAAAAGTCTATTTAGTATTATAATTTGTTATATCTATACACGACTAATAAGTAACCTTAAGAAGATGGCCGCCGTGTTTTTGTGTGATAAGAATCTTCCCCGTGATCATTTTTATCGGTGACCGAGGCCTGGATAAACCAAATACTATAAACGATAATACCGAAATGATAGATCTTTTTAGGGGCTCACTTTTTTCCCCCCAACATCAGTGTATCCATATTGTGGATACAATATAATACCGTATGCATAATTAACCCAAAACAATTTTGAAAAAAAACCAATTTCTATAGTAGTCCACTTAATTTAATGTAATTTTGTAATCAAAAAGGATAAAATTATGTAAAATATGCATTTTTGTATGGAACGAACCAACGATAACTATTTGTATTTTATTTGATTATGTTATTCAAAATTTAAATTGCCACACACCACGTCCGCCAACAGTTTACTGACGCTACACATGGAAAGTGTGAAGTGAAAGAATAGATTAGATGCTTTCAACCTAAACTACGATTTAATAAATTAAATTAAAAGTCGAAAGTGTGTTTGTGGTCTGACAGAAGTATTGATTTTTAACCGCGATTTATATTTTCAAACGCACTGAATCGTGAAATGGGCCTTCACCCCTTCACGTTACTTTTTTGTTATTACACTTTGCCAAACTAATCAATACTTTAAAAAAAACAGTAATTATGTAGTTTTTTTTATAGTTCATGTTTTCACTTTTTTTTCAAAAATATTTTCTTTGTAGTTGGTTTGTTAAAAAATATTATGAAAAAAGTTAACTAAATAATTACTTTTTAAGTAAAAAATAAAAATGTATAATAACATTATACAAAATATGTCTGATCAAGGTATCTACAATAGTCAATACGTTGCTATTAAAATAATAATTTTTAATGAATATTCAATATGCCTTTTGAAGACAAATATTTAAATTAATCATTTGCTTTTTGAAAATCGAAATATAACAAAACAATTGTGTAGCTAATCAGAAATAGTTTTATAGAGGATATGACTACAGTTTGTCAGGCTTACATGCATATTAGATACATTTATCTGTTTTCAGAGGCCACATTTTAAATTGTATTTAAAAAAATTTCGACTACATAAAGGCTTTTGTTTTATTATTGATTAAAACTACCAGTACCGTAGTCAGAAATTATGTAAGAACTTCAAGAGTGTAAATTCCCTAACTATCTCAATTAGCGCCTATATGCGTTTAAAATTACAAAATTGTATTTAAATAGTAGCATGAAATGAAACAACTAATAAAATTGTTGAGGGAAAAAATGCATATATATATATATATATATATATATATATATATATATATATCATACATTTCTCCCCACACCCTCGGCGACCCCAAAAAAAAAATAATTTGGAAGGGGCGCGTTTGCCGGATTTTTGACATGCTATACCATTATACTTACTATATGGGCTCCCCTTCTCAAAATTGTCCCTAACCTATCTTCGCGTTTACGCTATTTTCGTGTACAAACCCACCGGAGAATAATAATATAATATTTAGAGAATATATTGTACACTATAGCTGGTTTGGCCGTAAGCCAAAGAAAACAAAGACCTTTAACTCCGGCAACGGTGTTGTGTGTTGACCCTATAGGAACAGCAAGACGTCGAAACGATTTGTAAAATTGTCTGAACAGATGGTCGTTGTAAAATAACGTCATCGTCATAACATAGATAATGTGCGATTTCGATTAAAAAAAAAAAACACCTGGTACGGTTATAATATATTAATAATAATGTTTGCCCGTTGATATTGTGTTGGACGTTTTTCAAGAGAAAAAAATAATAAATTAGAAAAATTGCTATTGCGGATCTTAGATAATCCTAGAAATTCATACGAGTAGTTTTAGAATTGGAGATGAGTGCGAAAATTGCACTTATATCTCTTGGCAGCTAAAAAGGTATATACAACTTTAAAAGTAATTATTCAAAACTGTATACCGCAATTATAGTTTTCAGTAGAATTTTCTTCATTTAAAATTCTTTAAAATGTAAACTTATACGGAAAATAACTTAATCCAACAATGGTAAATGTAAAGTATTATAAAATAATATATTTTACAAAAAAGTCGCCGAAAAGTAAAAATTGTGATTATTTCTTTAACTAAATTGCTGTCGTAATAAATAAATTTCTAGTTTTTTTTTTTGTGTCGGCTTAAACACTTGTGAATAAATTAACGCAATTATATTATAAACCTGTACCATACTCGAATAACGTGTTGAGTAAATAGATACATAATTTTGTCGAGTTCTAAGATAGAAATACCAAGTATTACAAGTCTTACTACCTACACTAGACTTTTTACAATAAGTCTTGTAGTGAATAATACATTACAATATTACATTGATTTGTTAAACAATTTAAAATAAAATAAAAATCTTATAGAGGTATTAAATATTATTATATTATAAAGCTGTGTACCCAAATATAATTGTTATGATGAAAATTAAAAAATAAAACGATACCAAAATCAATTTATAGTCAAAGTTTTTTTTTTTAATTCCACCAGAACATTTTATTTAGCCACATGGCTTTATATTTTAATAATAGGTATTTATATATACATATATATATATTTATAAGATTTTTAAGTGGCTCAAATACATCCTACATCATCTAAAGGTGGTACTCGTTCGATTCGGCGCTTATAGGCGTTACCTAAAGGCGCGAAACAAAGGAAGACCGACGCGACGTAACGGTCTTTGGCCGTAACCCGGTTTTGCCATACATAATATTTTAAGCTGGTGATTTTTTTTTTTGTTTTAAAAAATACCCAATACAAATATTATGTCGTCGTGGTAACACGACACGCACGATAATTGGTATCGATAAAAAACTAAAACCACCCTGGGATAAAAAAAAAAAACACCGTCGCCTATTGTCGCCCCGACGACGCGTTTTTGCGGTGGTGGTCAATACATATAGGTACTAGTAATAGTATAATAATATATTATAATATATATGTGTTGGAACCTAACCGTGCACCGAGAGTGCATTGTACATTATTTTGCTGCCATGAGTTACATAGTGCATAATATTGTTAAAATATTATTATTAGAGTCGAGATAGACTAGGGAGAGAGAAGAGTGCAGAGTGCCTAGTGCATGTCATTGTTTTTACCAGATCCTTTTATAAAAAAAAAAAATAAATAAAACTGTAACGACGATTGCACATGGCGATAATGTTAACGCACACATACACAATATAATATGAATATACATATATAGTCTTTACAATAAGTGTAGACATTTTTAAAATGGACATTTTTCGTCGTTTCGTATCGTACCTATCTTTTTCATATAATATACGAGACGGCGGCGGCGGCCGTTGCTTGTACATACATATATATGTGTGTGTGTGTGTGTACACTGTAGCGTGTGTTGTATAGGGCATAATATAGTATAGTGTTGTGATCAATACGACGCAGTTTGTGTGACGTCAGCCCCCCGACCAGCCGGGGCGACCAATGGGACGGACCGCTGGCTTGCCCGTAAAAACAAGAGGAGAGCCCGATCAGCTGGCTTTCGTCTGTCTGTCGCTCTGGTTGTCGGTCGGTTTTACAATTTTTTTTTTGTTTTGTTCGTTTTACGTTTTTTGTAATTTTTATTTCAAATATTATACATAATATACAAATTATATTATATATAAAAGACAACATTTTAAATTTAATATTTAATAATAACAATAATAGATATATTATATATATATAAAAAAAAAATTTGTTAAATATTATATATTTATCATCGTCTACATATATATCCGATATATAAACAATAATTCGACGAAGATCTCTTGTAAATAAAAATCATTTGCCATAGCAAGGTAAGTTTTTTAACCGTTTATTACTGTTTTTTTTTTACAAAGATTTCAACAAATAAAATATAATAAATGCCCCGACCATCCCGGTTAGAGTACACAGGTCCTTTGTTCTCGTTATGCGTTTCCGTTACTCGGATTTGTTATTGCGCGTTACTTTTTACCAATTTTTTTTTTTTGAAAATTATTTTACATAATTTTCAAATACCGAGCCGTGCTAGAAGAGTTTTGTTAAGACTTTTTTTTAACGGTTAGTCGTCAAAAAAAAAGTTCGGGGTTATATTTTTCAATTGGTTTAAAACTTAAATCCCTCGCGTTTTCATACGCCCTTTTTGAGTGTAATTAATGTTTTTTAATTTTTTTTTATTTGTGCGGATAATTTTTTAATTGTAAATATTATCATCGTCGCGGTGCAACAACAGACAATTTGATGCACCGAGATTGCTCATTTATATTATTATATGATATTATGATCCCATAATGAATAGTAGAGTTGCATCGGTTCAGGGTCAAGTCGAATCGGTTTCCTTGCGTCCAGTGCGCGGAGGCGTCGTCTCTCGTTTATTATTTATTTATATTATAATTATACAGCGTTGTCATCTCTTCTCTATATTTCCCCCGTCAAAATGCGTTTTGCAAGTTACCAGTTAGTTTCTTCGGGTCGGTAATAATAATAATAATAACAATTAATAATAGATTAATAGTACACAGTGTGCCAGAAAATACTATTGTAGTAGTGGTCGAAAACCGTAGTATAGGATCGTCGTTTCGCATCTCCTCGGGCATTAAAAAAAAAAAAAAGCAACTACAACGGTTTAAAAAGAAGGGGTTATCAACAGCTACGTTTTATATATACATTATATTATTATAGTACACAGAATGTCTTTGTTCGTCACTGCTACAACTCTCTCTCTCTCTCTATCCCCCTTTCTCCCCCTCGGCCCTCCCTATCCATCCGACCGCTTCACCTCCGTTCTCCGCCCACTGTCGACGCCGCCGCCGCCGAATCAGCTGTTTCCGTTTTGCTTTTGTTCTGTAACGATTTTTTGGTTTTTCGATTTCGACGCGGAAAACCGACCATAGGTTTATATTAGGATTTTTTTTTACATCAAATAATAATTATTTTCCCTAGTGAAAAACTCTAAAGGTAATTTTTTTTTTGTTTTGTTTTAATTTTCAACGCTACTGTTTTTCTACTCGAAAAAAAGAACCACTTAATCGTTCGTGTCGCTTCGGGTATTTTTTAGAGGGGTTTTTTTTTTTTTTTTTGTTACATGTAGAACGAACCAAGAAGAGCACAGAGCGGCTGTTGGCGGTGAGGTCAGCGCGGGCGCGCGCGCGCAATAGCCCGGTAAAACCACCGCCTCGGCCCAAACGCCGCAGAATTTATTGTGGGTGTGAAATAATATAGTGGGGGTGTGTGTACTTAAACGGGACTTTCGAAAACTCAACAATGGCATATTATCGTTGTCGTCCGATGACGATTAACAATAATTAACGATGTCCCTCTGGCAAAAAAAAAGTATATAGTGTACACAATACAAAACGCCACCGAAATTATATTATTATAAAAACAATAACGGCGTGCCCCCGTAATGTGTTGGTGTTCGTTTTTCTCGCCTCGCACGTAGCGGATTATTTAAAATTTTATTAGATACTATTTTGGGCGGGAAAAAAAAGACGGTTGCACCAAAGATATCAATATTTTGTATTGCGCGTTTGTTTATAACGTTTTCTTCGGCAGCGTAGCAGCTCTCTGTAGGTCACACTCCTCTCTCTCTCTCTCTTTCTCGTGTGTCGCTTATCCCAAACGCACTCGGCCAACAGTATATAGTAATATAATAATATTGTTTGATGCGTTATTACGACGGCCCCCCGGAGGACGCAGATGACCTTGACGCGCTAATAGCCGCACCGGATCACCTTGTTTGCCAAAAGCGTACCGATCATTTTTTTTATTTGAATCGTAGTACTACCTCTGTATTGTTTTGTATTATATAATAGTAACTTGGTAACGCTATTAATAAAATAGTATATTGCAAAGTAGGTATATTACAATTAATATACCTACTTATACCGCGGATCGATAACGGCAAAAAAAATAAAATTAAAAGATGAACGCCCCGATTAACAGGCGAAAGTCGTCCGATAAAAATAATAATAATAATAATACAGACAGATGTATGCCGCAGTCCCGTTATTCGGATCTGGATTTTCACACAAAAATAGGCACCTACCTAGTTGTAGTAGTTTTTCAAGTCTTCGTGCCTATATTTTAGTCTTTTAACATAATTCTTTGGCTTATAGTTTTATCATCTTACAAATAAAATGTTGTAAGTCTGAATATTGGAAATAGAACGCTATTTTCAAAAAATAAGTCGGTTAAATTTTTAATTGAGAAATTAGTTGAAATGCCATATTTCTAATAAGTCTACATCGAGTCTAATTATAAGTCTGATAACAAAAACGTATTACAACTGTGTCCTAATAAATACCTATGTTAAATAAAAATTATATTAAATGATAAACATTGTATAATGAAATATGTAAATAAATATGCATCTCAAATACCCCACACCAATAAAAATACAAAATTATAGTATTAACTAGCAAACCTAGCAACTAGCAACCTTCAAAGGTAAAATACAGGGATACCAAGACCAAGGGCTAACTGTGTTTGGTACAACAAACTGGCAATTGTAAACAAAGATGGTGAAATTGTAAAAGAGCAATTCTTTGCTTTTCTTCGTAGTTGATAATTTCCGATTAATAATAAAATCGCTTTTATCGATTCACCGATTCGATAATTGCTTACAGTTAAAATGTTTTATCCGCCCTTGACCCTACACACTATGCAGGTATACAGTAGGCACTTGAGTAGTCTGTTCTAATCCGCCTTTTCAAAGTCGCGCCTTTATCATCTCTCTCAAAGACATCCGAACGAACGCGTGCAAGTGTTTTTTTGTTTGTTTGTGTATGATTTTTTAACGCGCAATACCGTCGTCGGAAACCGATAACGCAGCTGTTCGTTCGACCTATGGTCTCAATCACGGTGTAAAAGGAAAAAATTAAAAAGTACACACTCTTAATTATTATTATTATTTACACTCGGCCGTATAATAATAAACAATTAATACTGATCAATATCGATAACCCCGTCGCGATTTTACATTTAATATAATCTTACATATTATTATTATTATTATTATATATAAAGAGAGTCGCTGTGGAGTTTAAACTGTCTCTACTGGTCCTTAAAGGCAGGCTTTGTTCTGTGCTAGTATGGGCCCCCTTACTAAGGGGGCCCATCCCCCATTAAGTGTGGTTCTGTTGTCTGAAACCCTCACTTAGTGATAGACCGCCAGGAAATAGCACAGGTCCAACAGCATAGGTTTCTTAGCTTTGCTGGGTTCAAGTTAAATATCGCACACCTCACAACTCATAATGTCGTCAGTGGTAAAATTAATTCCCCTTCTCCCCTTCGACGTCCTATACATTTTAATCGATTCTGCTCGTCCTACCCGTAACATTGTTCCTTTCTCCATTTCTCAGTGTGCCACATATTTACTTAATTAATAAATCTATAACCGCAGATTAAATAAACCCAGATAGTCCACTCTATTAAAATTGAAAAATGTAAATAAATTTTTATAATCTCGGGTCAGTGACCGAAAAATGAAAATAATAATCCTTCTGGTCCACAGTGTGTGGTCAAAGAAAATGTTGTTATCAATATTACCTTTGTTATCAGTTTACGTTATTATTGTAAATAGCCGATGGCGTGTACAATATTTTTCGCACTAAATTTGGCCCTACTACACATTAAGTTTAAACCAATGAAAAATCGTTATTGGAAAATCTATTGTTTTACTATGGGTACACTATTTTTGGTTTCCTTTAATCTGTGCTAAAACTCGCTGCATGAAGCAGGCATATGTTTAGACAACACCTCCTTCTCCTGTTATATCAGCTAATTATTGTAATTTTATTATTTATCAACTGTAATTTTTTCTTTTTACATACACTACAGTCTGTAATTTGGGCAATTTTCGCCCGTTTAATTATTTTAAATGAATTAATAAATTATTATACGGTACACAGTAGGTTGGGTGTTCATATACGCGAAATAATAATAACTCAAATATCGGCTTCGTCCGTTATGCAATAAAAATGCTGACGGCTATTAGTAATATATTAAAACAACATACATTATGTATGTTACAGACAACTCTACCCGTGTGTGTATGTGTGTAATACTCGTATTGTATACACCTATTTACTATTATTTACTACTACTATTGTGTGTGTGTGTACATACTATTCGGGTCAATGTGCCAGAGCCTTCGAAAATCGCGGCTGATAAAAATGTACATATATAATATATATATTTGCTCGGTTTCTTATTTTTTGTACTAGCCGGGTATAGGACCCGGGTACTTATTGCGTCGTTATTCGTTAAGATATTATATATAAATAAATTTAGAAAACGGACGACGATACCTACGGAGATAACGCGTAGTAAGTATACCGTGTGTTTAGTATTTTTATCGTCTGTAGGTGAAGAAAGGAGAGAGAGAAAGACAGAGGGGGGAAGAAGGACGGGAGTGACAGCAAAGAGAGCTGCTGTGCCGAGGAGTCGGATGCGTAACCGGTTTGGCTTTGTGTTATTGCACCGACCCATAGTTATTATATTACAGTGTACGCGTTTTTTGTATAATTATTATTATTATTATTTCTTTCATGTATTTCAATAGGCGGTAGCTAGTCGAAGGGACGGACAAGCATATACATTGTATGGGTTGTCGTGGCCCGCAGACCGAGAAAAAGTGTTTTGGGTAATTTTTGTCAACAAAACCTAGGAGAGGATGTAAAGTAAACAAAAAAAAGACATTATTTTTGTCTTAGACTCGCAAGTCGGTTGGTTGTCATACACTTAAAAAATAATCGTAAAAACGTCATCGGAAAAACATTTTGGCACCGTGATAAGTAAAAGAAGCGAGAAGAAAAAGTGAAGAACTTTAATTTTATAACCGAAAAATATCTTGTTTAAAATATTACCAACTGGGCTAACATTGATTATTTTTGGTCGAATAATTAGTACATCTGTCCAATTCGAATTAGTTGTGTTCAATGAAATGCACATATTAGTTGTTGAGCGCCCTAATTAGAATTCAAAATACGTTTCAAAAAAGTATTTTTATAAATATATATTCATTATCATGACGTAAAAGTGTTGTTTTCGCCGTAAGTGCTAATTTAATTAAATCTAGTGGACTTATCCGGTTTTTGCGATAAGCCCTTCACAAATTTCTCAACCGGGAAACTATGTACACATTGCTAATCGGATATGAGTGTGACTTCCGCCTTGCCGACCTAACCGGGAATCCTTGAAAATATCAATAACACGAAATGGCACAAGACCTAAATATAGGCATGCGGACGTGCATTGGAAAAAATCACTATTTTGTATACTTAAACCGTAAATCATGTTAAGTCGTCGTACACGGTCAAATTGAAAGTTATAAGATACAACACAGCTTGTAAAGCGGGCAACTACGGTGTCCATTCTGATTTATCTGTTCTGTGGTACTACTACTATAAATTGTTATGATTGTACAATAAATCACATCCGAGTGAGCTAATGGGTTTTTTTTTTTAAAAAAAGGCCGGTGTAGGTCTGTTAAAGACTGCTAATAATATCGAGCATTTAAAAAGCTCATCAAAATTTAAAATATAAAAAAAAAAAACATCAAACGGTTGTTATGATTTTTTAAGAAAAAAACGTCATCAAGGTAGAAATAATTTTTATGACGAATCCGCCGGGCGTTAGTGTTTTCCTCGTTCGGTGTATTTTGGCAAACCTTAAGAGATTATTATTGGCAAAAAAAAAAGAAGAAATATTGGCAATGTTAGCCGTCGTCGAGGTTTGGCCTTGGCTCCGAAAAAATGTCATCATCCCACGTCGTTTACATTTATCGCTTCCTATACACATTGTGTGTGTGTGTGTACTTAAGTCCCCGAATGTTTTTTAATAAGTTTATTCGGTGTTTTTAATTTGTTGTTATTTTTCGTTCGCTTTCACTTGCCAAACTTTTTTCATCCGCTGCGATTTAATTTTAGAAAGTCAAAACCATTTTTTCGACTTGCGCAATTCACAGTAAAACACTATATGATGATGTTTTCGCCTTACGCCGATTACTATAATATTATTGTTAACACTTGAGACAGTTTTAATAATATTTTCTATATTGTGATTTTTTGTTTGGTTTCAGTTCCTGACTGACCGCAACTGCTGTTCGTGCCACGTTCTCTTGTGCGAGGGACGAGAAAGATAAAAGGTATGTATTCACTCACTCTTATGACCGAGCTTGATTATAATATTGAAATCGCCTAAGCATAACGGCATATACTTGGTGTAATGTTATGTACAAGCTAGTATTTTTTGTGTGTTGTGCTGTGCTGTTGTGTATTATTATATTATGATTTGCATTGTTTCACATTTCCATTGTTGTTATATTTTATTATCACCCGACTACAACTAGATGCGGTACATTTGTTTTATGTTCGTTATCTTAATAAGATGACATAATTGCATATAATTTTTTTTTCCACTAAGACTTGAGTTGACGTCCATCGTTCTTCGAAACGCTTAAACTTTTTTTTTTTTTTTAATTTTTTATTGCCTTCGCGTTTATTTAAAAACTGTTTATCTATTCGGAAACGCTCGAAAAAACAAATCTCTACAGAATTTATAGTGCTCGATTTATAAAAATATATAACCTTCAAAAAAAAAATAGATGCTTCGGTTGTGTTTTTTTTGCGTTTGCGAGGCCGTTGAACCTTTTCAATTTTCGTTATCGTTTTCGTTGGTCTTTATAATATAATATTTTAATCTTCTCCTCTGTGTGTGCATAATAAATTATACAGCAAAATTTTATCGAAATTACTGGCAGTTAAACCAGTTTGAAAAAAAAAATTATAATAAAGAAAACCGGTCGACTTATTGTTGCACCGAAGAAATCGCTGTTTTTTTAATAATTTTTTTTTTGTCGGTCGACAAAAAAATATAATAAATTTCTTTTTTTTTCTTGGTGCATCACAATGCGTTTTATGACAATAGTATTAGTGATTGTGACACATAGTCAAGGTCGTATATAATGACTATTTTAAGCAAGTAATAGCAAGTCGTATACAAGACACGTGCAACTCGAGAGCGATCTGTGTGTTGTGTGTGATAATAAAACATATTATATCGGTCGTTATTATAGTAATTTTTAAACGGCGGTAATGATATAATTGAAACAAAAAAAAAACTTAAGTTTTATTTATTTATTTTTTTTGTTCTCGAACTTGACATTGAACGCGCATTATTGTTGACACAAGCGAGCACGTTGTGTATGGTGTTTGACTATCAACCGCTGATGATACAATATTTCCATTTTTCCCAAAACGCACTTGCGATAATAAACCGTATAAAGTGTGTGTGTGTGTGTGTGTGTTTTGTTGTCTGTTTTACGGTTTACAATAATTTGTCGTTAATGAATCGACGCACAATGGGACCTTTTGTTGTGTTATTATCGATTACCCGCCTAATAATCATAATATAATCGCTACTCGCGCTCATGCGTCGTTTATAAACAAAATATATCATACATATTAAAAATCTTATTGGTTCATCAGAAATCTGCATTTGTGTGCGTTATTCGATTGCATTTATTTATGGTTTTTTTGTTTTTTCTAGCGAGCTAAAAAAATGTTTTCGAACTTGTCGAGTTGGTTCTACGGAAGCAGCCCAGCTGAGAAGACCGACGAAGTAGTGGCCGAGCCTAGCCCTGACGCTTTGATCGAAGTCGATGAAAACTTCGAACCGATCGAGATCGACGAATCCGACGACTGGGTCATCCTTGGCAAAGGTATGTATCATCATGTAAACGTAACCGTATGTGTATTCTAAGTAATCGTTGGATTTTTGGCCGTTTAGGTGATACGGAAGCGGATCCCAAGAAGACCGACGATGAAGGGATGGTCGCCGAACGGCACAGTCGTTCGTCTTCGGCTTGCCAAAACGAAGAGGGCTGGTTCGTCACCCCTCCTCCGTGTTTTACATCGGTCGGCCCGGCAGACATGGAAACTACTCCTTTGGAAAATCTCCTCATCGAGCACCCTAGCATGTCAGTCTACCACAGCCCCACTGTAAGCTCGGTCTTGCCGGAGAAGAGAACTCTGGCATCGATCGCCAGCAACAACGAGTCGTTCGACGACGAAACACCTATTGTCTTTGAAGCCATCAAGCTTAAAAACAGGTTACCAAAACAACAAAAGAAAAAGGCTTTCAAGAAATCCGTTCCACTCGATGAGTTCAAAATGGCACCTGAAAAGATTTTGGGCACGGTACCAGCATCGGTGTCTGCGCCAATTGCAGTTGATGTCGCCAAGAAACTCGAACGTTCAAACGTGGAAATGTTCCCCGTGTTAAGTCCATCGTCCAACAGCAAAGTGTCTTCCCAGCGAGCAGTCCGAAGCTACAACGAAGTGGCGGCTTCATTAAAACGCAGGCAACCCAAAACCGAAGTGCTAGAAACTGTTAAACATGTGAAAATTGCACCTGAAATCAAAGTTGACAACAAACCAAAACCAGTATCGCCCGTTGAAGAAGTTCAAGCGCCTGTCAAAGTTTCGACTACCCCCAAGAACGTATTGAAGAAGGGCCGTAAACCACCAAACCCTCTGCCTCATCTTGTAAAAGATGAATTAAAAAAAATTCCAAAAGAAATTGTTCCTAAAATGCGAGCCCAAGAGCAGCGATTGGTCAGATTGAGTTCCTTTAGTGTTATCCAGTCATCAGATCTGCCAAAAAGTTCTAAAATGTTGAAGAAAGAAATTTCCAAACCAGTCGAAGTTCAACAAGAGACAATCAACAACGTAGTAACAAGTGCTGTAGAAGTACGCAAACCTGTTGTTGTTGACTGCGAAGAAAAGAAAAAGAGGAAAGCGCAACGCAAAAGTGTTGTTAAGCAAGCAAAGATCGAAAAGGTAGAAGATAATGACTCTACTAGCAGCCAAGTTACCATGGCCACTCAGACGACAGTGGTTCGACCCAAATGTGAAGTTGTAGAAAAAAGGGACCAAAAATCTCCTGTAAAGAAGGAGAACATTCTAATACCTTTGACAACATCGATTGCATTGAATTCTCTCGTGTCTCGACCCGAAGAGAATGCTTACAAACACGAGCTGCTTAAAAGAGAGCTGGCAATGATTGCCGGCACCACCAAAGCTCAAAAAGTAAGTCTTAAATTTGCCATCGAGAAAGCTTAAACTTCAATTAAAAAATTACACATATATAATCGGTTGAATAATTTTTCATTTTCAGTTGCAAGCACATAGAGAGACGCGTATTTTGTGTCGCAACCAGCTGGCACACATCAATCGTGTGAGTATCATGTTGAGCGCCAGCAACAAAAGACTGAGGAGGGCTGACAAGAACATGCGACCGTCGGGTGCTAACAACAACCGTAAATGCTGTTAACTTTATTTAAATATATGAAAACAAAACAAAACAAAAAAAAACCATACTGGCTAGTAATATATTGGGTTAGTCTCAGTTATCATAAAGTTGAAATAATTCAATTATAATTACAATAATGGGTCATGGGAAAAAATTTTTAAAAAGTGACAAAAAAATGTTTAAAATGTTGAAAAAAAAAACAAAAAAATTATGTGTGCCTACTTAAATATTTATTACTAATAATCCATTCATATTTAAATAGTACTCGACGATATTAAGTGACTAAAGTAATTTTTTGTTTTTCTTTTAATTTAATTAAACATAGTATATTGTATTAATAAATTACACAATATACAAAAAAATTTAAAAAAAATAATAAAAAAAACTTGGAGCACTTTTCTAATGACAACTTTCTGATAAACTATATGGGGAAAAAAAATCTTTTGTTTTGTTGATATTTATTTTCAATACCTAATTTATTAATATATATATATATAAAGTTACCAGCATTGAAAAAACTGTAATAGTTGGCCAGTATAAGACGTTTAATATATCTTATGTATTTCCTCCGTACATAACCTATTTAAATTATTATTATAAGTGTACCTGAGTAAAAAAAAAAAAACACCCTTTAGCAGTTATTATGTATAATAATAATATATATATTAAGCTTGTGTATGTGTGTACATTTTTCGTAGAAGTTAATTACTTGTTGCTTGAATATTATTTAACTACGAATAAGTAGATATATTCTAAACTGTAAGGTGTAACACCATTACTTTTAACTCGGAACTTGGTGGTAAAGCCTTACTTATATAAATATATATATTAATGTCATTGTGTAAATAATCATTTTTAATTTATTCTCTTTTTGATTTACCATGAAAATATAATAACTCAATTGATTTGGTAACAGTATTTCAAAGTGACTCTCTTTCCCCCCAAAAATTATTTAAGGCTATTTACTAATTTTGCTTAGAAAAGTGTACATAACGTATTATAAATATTATTTAATTTAATTTTTTTTTTTTTTTTATGCCAAGATTTTTATTTTTTGTTAAATATTTTAATTTTATTTATTATTAAAAAAAATTAATTTACTAAATTATTTTAATGCACGGTTTATGTAATGTTTTAAAACTTTTAAAAATATAAACTTTGTTTAAAAAAAAAAAAAAATTTTACTCGTGTTTTAAACGATTTTGTTTTTGTTTTCGAATGTAGTATGTCATAAATATTATAATGATTATTACTTTACGTCCAAATATTATATAGTTAAGTCGAGTACTCCCATCGTTTTGATTTTTCCACGTTTATTCTTTTTAAATAATTTTACATTTTATTATTCTATTGTGCGATATTAATTACATATTTTTTTTATGTATACTTTCAAACAGTTAAAAAAATGTAATTTTTTTTTTTAGTATCAACTGCCTCTTTCACATTACGTTAAGAATGTTGTTGTTGTTAATTATTGGTTAATAATAATCACTATGATGATCGATTAATAAAAGGTATAAATAACAAAAAAATATCTGCAAAAATCAAATAAATAATTTTTAAAGCTTATTACTTATTAATGAGCTGTAAATAATTAGTTTTTTGCTTTTGCTTTAGTCATAAATATTACAACTTAAATAGCGTTTACTATTATATTTACAATATTATATGTAAAAAAAAAAAAAAAAAGTCTTCTAAACTAAACACACAATTTTCATTATTATGATTACAATCGTTAATAATATGTAATTCTATTAGTAATTTAAAAAAAAAATGTAATGTCAAAATCTGTGATCGTAATAAAACTTCTATGAAGCAATATTAATTAAAAAGTTAAAAACAAGTTTAATAATAAATTCAGTTGTTAGATATAGTATATACATATGTATAATATTTCCCACTGTAATTATTATTGTTTGTTAAAATATTATGTCCACCAATGTGTTTATGTTTGATTCATATCTACAATCTCTTTTAGATTTTATTTAATTTTGATAACCCTAATATGAATTGTAAGAATGTACCATAAATTGTATAGCGTGTAATGAAGTATATTATTGTGCATTTCAAGAAGTAATACGAATATTATGTATAATATTATACAATACTAGAAGGGCTACTGTTTGTGTTCAAATGAAAAGAAAAAAACGATAAAACATTATTTAAAAATTAAAAAAAAGTATTAATTTATCAGAACATAATTAAAAGTGTTTTTTATTTTTTTTATGTTAAACTTCTTCAAACTGATCCTTGAGTTATCTTCAATACATGGTATACCTATACCCTTATTATTTATTATATGTATCTCTCTTGAAATGTCATCATCACTGCATCGACTGGCTTTGTGCCGGTAATATTGGCTTAACAAATTGTTAAGCAGATTAATGAATAAACATAACTAAGAGTCGCAAGGATTTTTCGAGCAAATCCATAACGGTTGTACTTGGCATATATAGTTGAGTTTTATAAACTTTAATTTAAGTTAATTGGCTTAGTAATTATTGTCTTTGTCGTTCAAACTGATATTTGACTTTATCACTCCTTGTAAATTTTTTTTTCTTTAAAGCTGATATAATAAAGATTCGAATATTTTTACAAGTGTTGTGGTGATTAATTATAGTTCAATAAATGGCAAAAATGTTCTTTTATTATTTGTAAAACAAAAAATTATACAAAGGTAGTAAATTAAATGTAAGTATACATTATATTCTACATTTTATATCTTGCCGTTCGGAACTGGTATTTACATACAATGTACAATAATTGTAACGGCCAACGGGTACACAATAAAGATCCGAATATTTTACAGTTTTTTTTTTTTAAATAAAATAATTATTTAAAACGCATTTCCTGGCCTAGAGTCATGGCTATATTTTCCTACAGAGTTATTTTTGCTGCTGCGATGATGATGATCACATTAGTGAAAACGCACTACCCACACGGTGTGACCCAGAAATTGAGAAATAGTTGGATATTTCTGTCACGACAATAATATTTATACAAAATGTACTTGACCTTTGGCATACATATTATATTTTAAATGAGGGTTCAACGACGTTGTATCGATTCTTGGCCGAGTATCAATATTTATAATAATAACAAATTATATTTTACTTACGGTTCTTATGGCGCATCCGAGTTGTCACAGTAAAATAATTGTATTTTTTAAATGAGTCTAAAAACATAATCATTATTTTGTGCAAAAAGGGACCAAGGACCCCAGATCAGGGTTGGAAACATCAGAAAAAAATAATAATAATCATGTTATCCGCTAAGAGCACATTAGTTTAAATTTTAGTCGTTTCATTCCAATTAAGTGTGTAAAATAATATATAAAACGTCGGCAATATTATTATTATTACTATAACTTAAGTCTGAAAGCGATGAAATCAATTTTAAACAAACGCTTCGGTGCGAATTCAAACCAGTACAGTCTAAACCAAGCACAGTCATTTTTGTGCTTCAAAATTAATTTTTAGTATTAAGGTGGATACGATTATGGTTGATCGTCTGTCTATAAAAATGTATTGTCATAATTACCAATATATCATTGGTAGTTAACAATATAATACAAATATGATTTAGTACCTGTTAACTGTTGATTCATTCACACGTAGCAACCTGAAAATTGACTTAAGTCAAAGTGTAATTTTCCCTTTTTGGGGTGTTTTCCTTAATAAAAATAGTTTGACTACAGATTTTTAAGAAAATTATATATGGTATTATTCTTTTCAAGATCTACCTTAGGTCTAATTTTCAGACCTTTATGCCTAAAACTTTTTTTTAAAAAATTGAAATAAAGAAAAAATGTCTATCTATTCTAGGGGAAAAGGGCTTATAATATTTTATTGATTTGTCAAATAATATCAAGTAATATATTTAAAGAATGTTCCATACAAATTAGAAATAAAATAAAATTGTACATCATCGTAATTTTAAGTTAAAATATTTTGGGTGTTTTTCTCGATTTTGAAGGGGAAGGGGTCATTTATTTTTTGGCCAGTACACAGGGTAAAATATAAAAGATCAAAGTCAAGACACTAATTTTCTCTTATAATAATTACAAATTTATAGTTTTTCTTTTAAAAACATAATTTTACAATATACTTTTTTCCCACAGCTCTATACTTTTGAAACTTAAATAGTGACGTATGCATTTAATTAACTTTTAAACTGAAAATAATTTTGGGTACATTTATATATATATATATATTACCTAAGCGGTTTCAAGTATCGGTAACTGAAGATGTGGAATATTTTTATTTAAAAAAACATAATATGAAAATTTATAAGAATAAAAAATATATCGCCGTCAAGTCTTGAGACAATTTTAAATATAAATAAATCAGTTAGTATTTGATTTTATGAAATATACAATTTTATTATTTACCGTCTAAGGGGATGGTCTGTTTTTCTGCGAATGCCGGTAGACACCGCTGACGTTGGACTTTTTTTTGAGTTTGTGAATTTTTGGCAAATGAAATTATAATTTAGAAAACATGATTAGAATTTGTGGAGATTTTAGGGCTTGCTTCACTGCGGGCTGACCCGGTATTGCAATACCACCGGGATCGGCCCCAAATGAACGTCTTAAAATCATTGTAAAAGGTTCGATATGTATACATCCAAATAGTTTGAAAACCAAAATTTTTTTAGAAAATCCAAATTTTCTTAGGACCAGTTGTTTTGAACAATGTCAACAATTTTATGCCATTGCCACCAATGTATATAAAATAAACAAGACGTGACTAGCAAGTGTGTTAATCATACAGCATACTTATTCATAGAAAGACCCTTGTCGGCCAGTGTTTTTAATTAACTCAAATTTTTTACAATGTTCGAATAGCAACCAAAATTATTAGCTATGAAAATTGTCAAATTCCAAAAATTCTTAGCTGCCGACATTTATTTTTGCAACATTGAATTCAATTTTTTATAAATTGTAATTTATTGATATGTAGTGCACGTGGTCAAAATATAGTTATAATTGATATTTACAAGAAATAAGAGGAACTTTTAGCACGTTTTTCGTGCAAATTTAAAGCGTTTTCGGATTTTTAATTTTGCAAAATAATTTTGAATTTTCCTAAATAATTGTCCT